GTGAAAATTAAAGCCACTTAAAGAGACAAAATGGGATATAAATAATCCCATATCCACATTTAACTGCAGCTTACTTTGAAGCCACAGTGTGTTATATTATAACTGTGTTCTATGGCTAAACAAGGTATCTGTGACTTGCTCTTGTTTGATTCTACTGGTCGTTATACATTTTGATGCCTTACATTTTTTTTTAGCTGTTCATGTTTAATTTTCTATTGCTGATTCCAAAATGTAATTAAATCTTTTTCTATCAGGTCTAGTTTTTTTAGATACAGTCATTTGTATATGTTATTTATTTTATTACTGTATGCACTGCATTGGGCTCTAGGGGAAAAAATATAGTATCTCAAAAACTAGAGCTCATAGAAAAAAATTTATTACATGTTTTGGAATCTCAGAATCTTTGCGGTGTGAGAAAAATGGCACTGCGAGGAATAACCAGGGGATGTGGCCGACGCTCAACACTCAGGGGAAGGATGAGACGGATAAACAAGCAGATGGTTACTGGTACCATTGGAATTGGAACTCTTTGCTTGCTGCTGAAGATGGGGATGGAGCACTTATGTGAGTGTCCCCACCGCTGTGATGTCGATTTTTAATTCAACATTCAACTTCAACTCTTTTGGTACCAGAATATTTCACAGGAGAAGACAAAGTGAAGAAATAATGTTGATTAAAATCATAAATGTGTTATTTCTGGTAGTCTTAGTTTCAGCTTCATAGCAAACGGGTCACCCCATCTTTGCTCCACTCCTGTGCCAATGAAAAACACACAGAATGTTTATCACAATCCCTTGTGGAAAGATTGACAGACTGCTGTCTCAACATATCTAGCATACACACGCATTAAAGCATACTGTAGCCATCCGAAGGGCTAACACAAACAGTCCGACATTAGAAATGCAGTTCATCATTGATGGTAGCAGAAGTCACCACCAGATCAGCAGTTGCCCACGCGATCAATTGTAATCACATACGAGCACCACCAACATTGCGATGACAGGCATCGCGCCATTTTTTGAATCTACAATTCACACCACCACATTGGTCACAGTCCAAAAAACATTCCAAATGAAATCTGCAGCTCACAGTGTCACAACATGCATCCAACTCAGAAGCTGGGTGACAAAACTAAATCCAGTCTACAAATGGAGCAAAAATGCATCGGCCACCCTCCAGCAGAAGCAAAAAATTTGCCTCGGCTCTAAACAGTGCCCCTGCCTAACGACCATTTTGACTGGAAGTGTCATTTTTTTTTTTTTTTTTCAAAGTGGCAACATACACAGAGCTGGTGACTATGGAGGCAGCCATTTTTCTTGAGTATGTTTTCACTGAATGTTAAAATTAGAAGAACATGTTATGCTAGGGATGGAAATCAATGGGTAAAGTCCTTCATCCATCAAGCTAAATTTTTTTTGAAATAATCATGTCTTGCTTGAGACCAAGCAATTAAAAAATGATGAAGGTAAATTTAAAAAAACTATTTAAATTAAAGATATTCAACCTAGTTGCGCACTCCCTCCCCCCTTTTTCTTAGTTAGCAGGGGTGATGACGGGGGAGGGAGGTATGGAAGTTTTAAGAATCGCCACCTGAAAAAAATTAAGTTGAAAACGACTGATCTAAATGGAGTAATAGTGTCAAATAACAAGCAAGAGTATAATTAGATAAAATAAAAGTTGTCTATTTTGATCTCACTCAGTTCATTTGATATATGGTGTTAGCACCATTTAAACAAAACAATAATTACACTTGGTAGGTGATCTGATTGAAATCCCACTAGTTGTTTTTGTTTTCCAGAAAATATGGTTGTGATGATGGAAGTGGTCGTTAATTTTCAAAATATTCAATATTTTGTTACTTAATAACAGAAAATTCAGTCAATAATTAATTTCAACATGAAATGAGAACACAGTCTTTTGTCTGTTTCAGGGGAAAAAAACAGAAAATTATGTTTTTAATTAGCATTTTGACATTAATTAGAACCTTCAGTCTTCTTCAACTTTCAGCACCTCAAAAATAGAACATCTAGATGTTTAGCATTGGCATCTAGATATTTAGCTATAGCAGAAGAGCCATGTGAATAGCTGTGAAGTTATGGCATTTTTGTAAGTCTAAAATACTGCCAGGAGAAAAAAATTTCAATATACACCCAAATAATGATGATATCAAACAAGAATGTGCAGTTTTTGTTTTTGTAATTTATTCTTCATTCAAATTAGTGCATAAAAATACAAAATATTATGAGTTTATGTCAAATAGTTGTGAAGAGTTGGCATTTTTGATAGACACTCAAATACACGGTATCTGGGATAGTGCAAGGGTAAACGGGTTTGGTAGTCAGTTGGTTAAATAATGCAGACACAAACAATACATTGCACTATATTTTACCAGGCAAATTTCATTGTATCTCATCTGATGTGTTACTGCAGAGTCACATCAAAATATAAGTACAAATATATGTGACTCTTTTCCACGCCTTTAGGCCTATTGAAAATATAGGGCTGGACCTCTATTTGTATAGATCATTTGGCACTTAATGGGTGATGTGGTCAGCTTTTACTTCCCAGGACTGCACCTGGTACCCACTCAAGGCTGGGTCAACCTGTGAGTCAAGGTCATTTTTTTTAAACAGTCCAGCTGCGTCAGAAGGCGAACCCACGACACATCAACATATAATAAAGCACCAAAAAAAACTGAATTAATTCCCCTGAAATACACATCACACTAAAACAATGCACCTGATGAAAAACAGCAAAATATGCCCGGCAATAAGTTGTGAAATGTATTATTTGTATGCCACGTAATGAAAAGAGAGACACTGGAGAACATCGTAACAACAATAACGATCAATGGAAAAAGGGGTAGAGGTGGAAGAGCTAAAACGATGGCATGGAGGGATATCATCAAGAGAGCTGTTCCAGGTAACCAGGGATCATGATCTGAGGAGACGCATGAGTGTCTATGTCACTTGGCAGGGCATATAATGATGATGGTGATTGATTTGTATTTGTATTATTTAAGTTCCCTTGAGGAAGACATTGTTTGAAATACATCATTTAGTCTTTGTTCACTTTCAACAGCATCAAAACATTCAGATGCCTACTCATGATTAAAAGAATCACAGTTTTTTAGAAGAGTCTTGTCATTTAGTCACTTTTAAAATGAAAATGAAATAATACTTAGATGTGCACCCAGGGTGGAAGAGCAAACAGCGAGGATAAAGTATTCCACAAGAGGAGGTTATAGGCACCATAGACTTCCCCCAGTCCAGCTGGAGGAGAAACTGCATGAAAACAACAGCAGAATCATCATCATCATCATCAATTTATACTTTTGCATTTTAGCACCGTGAGGAGAAACAGTTTTCAGTCCACTACTTGATTAGAAGTAATGGCTTTTGTCATTCTGTGTTGATATAGAAAGTAATTAATGTTGTCAATCCATTTTTTTCAAGTGCAACCTCTTGCTTTTACTTCACATCTTTTCATGTGTAATCTTGTATTGGTAGTTGTTCTGTTTGCACTCTAACTAGATGACCAAAACATTTGTTATTCTGTTTTGGAATGAATAATGATCTTCCCACAGTCTGTCTGATAATATCATTTCTAACTTTATCTCGGATGTTTAAGTACGCAAGAATTTAATTTCATAGGTGTCTGTTTTATGTAGTTTAGTCTTTAATAATGTCCAAGTCTGGCACTGGTAGCACAGTGTTGGTATGAATATGCTGTTTATAATCCAAAGCTCATAGCTAGTGAAATCTCTCACTATATTCTACTCAAGATTTATTTGCTGATAAACTGCACCGAATCACAAATTATTCCTGTCATGACAGAGAATGGCAGAAGTGCTTTATGATAATGATGATAAATGAATGTATGAACATATGTGTTTGTATAAATGAATGTATGAACATATGTGTTTGTATAAATGTATGTATGAATATACATATAAATGTATTTATAAACATATATAGTGGTATGAATGTATATAAGAAATTATGTGTTTGTATAAATCTTCGTAAAGATTTTTTGTGAAGGTAGGTCAATAAGTAGATCACAAAAAGTTATGGATTGCAAGAAAATGTAGTTGGTGGTTTCTAAAGGTGTAAATTAGGTGACAGCAACATCCAACTTTATGTCTCTGTTCATTAGGTGGTGCTAGGTGTTGAATGCACATTCACAACACAGAAAAAATGGTGACTGTACTTATGGAGTCTACCCCCGAAGAACAATGTGCTGTTGCGTGCTTTGGGGGGGGGGGGGGGGGAGGGAGAGGTTTGTGAAATCATAGACTTTCACTGACTCCTTCAGTCCATTTCCTCTAGATCTCCCTCTTACTCATAGTGTTTCTGTTTTCATGTTGCACGCTCTAGTGACCAGCTTAGTTCGTTTCATTCTCACAAACAAATTTCGTTATTTATAATTTATTGCCATCTCCATTTCATTAGTGCTGTACAGTAAGTAGTTCAGGTAAGTACAATTTGTGATTACACTATATTAATTATTTATGTGTGATTATTTTGATGATGCTGCATTCAGAAAAATGTTCAGGTTGGTGTAATACTGGTTGTTCTAACATTGTTATAATTTCAAAAAGTTTTTTTTTAAATTAGAAATATCAGATTTTCTTCGAGACTGTGTTTCAGCCTGTATATTGATGTAATAATGGTGCTGCTGGACTCATCGAACTTCCATCATGTTTGCTCTGTGTTTTGATCTGCATTTTGATGTATGAATGAAAACATCAAACATCCATGAAGTGTGTTCTGTGTTTTGATCTGTCAGGTTATGTATAAATAAAAACATCACTCTTCCATCAAGCCTGCGTCAGACTTTTAATCTGTAAATTGATGTATCAACAGAAACATCACTCTCCCATCAAATTTATTCTATGTTTTGATCGGTTAGTTAATGCACGAATAAAAACATCAGACTTCCATCAAGTATGCTGTGTGTTTTGATTTGTACGTTGATGATCAATGACAATGCTGGAATCATCAAACTTCCATCAAGTTTGTAGTGTGTTTCACCTTGACCCAAATGAAGCCTCTGTTTTCTTCCTTCCCATCACCATTCTTCTTCACCAGATCATACCTGAAATTACAAACATACAGGCCACCTGTGACTTTCCGAAAATATGATATCTTTATTAATTAACTCTTTATTATTGCACATACTTCTGGGCAATTATTGCTTTATTCCCTAGACTTTATACCAGAGTCCACCCACAGATTATAATCAACAGTCCACTCCTAGACATAACCAGATAGTCACCCTCAGCCTCTTTATCCAAGATCCACCCTTAACCAGAGGTCTACCTATAACCAGAGATCCACCCATAACCAGAGGTCCACCCCTAACCAGAAGTCCACTCCTAGCCAGAGGTCCACCCCTAACCAGAGGTCCCCTTAACCAGGGGTCCACCTATACCTAGAGGCCCACCCATAAGCAGAGATGTCCACCCATAACCAGAAGTCTACAATAACCATATGTCCACTGCTAACCAGAGGTCCACCCCCTAGCCAGAGGTCCACCCCTAGCCAGAGGTCCACCCCTAACCAGAGGTCCACCCATAACCAGAGGTCCACCTCTAACCAGAGGTACACCCATAAGCAGAGATGCCCACCCATAACCAGACTAAACAATAACCATGGGTCCACCCATAACCAGAGGTCCACCCTTAACTAGATGTTAACCCATAACCAGAGGTCCACAATAACCATAAGTCCACCCATAACCAGAGGTCCACCCATAACCAGAGGTCCACCCATAACCAGAGGTCCACCCATAACCAGAGGTTCACCCATAACCAGAGGTCCACCCTTAACTAGATGTTCACCCATAATCGGGTGTCCGCCTATAGCCTCTCTAATCAGATCTGCTCCCTTAGTCTGTCAACCTAGATGTCAGTGATACTTGTATTACTCAATTCTTTCAATCATTAATTTTTTTTATTAATTCCTTAATGTATTCCTTTATATAATTTTGTGAGATCTGTCACATTCTGTCAAATCTGCTATATTATCTCACTAAAGCAAAAAGGTAGATGGAGACACAGCCCTTTTTCCCATGCATACTTTCTCAGTAACTCAGTGAGTATTCTCAGGGTGATAGAAACGGGCTGGATCCGAAGACAGTGTTTGGTGTCACTGAAGTGGTCAGGGTTGACACATATCAGTTTCATATTTGTGCCAGGGCAAGGAAATGAGCCAGCTGATCGGCTTGCAGGTAAAGCTACTGTGGAGGGCAGACAAGCAATGGACCATGCTGATATTCTGAATGCTCAACGGAAGTCAGACGTGTGCGAGAACCAAGTGGTGACTGAATCTGCAACCAAGACCAGACTGCAAGAAAAATAAGTGATCAACACAGAACTGGCGTTGTGAGCTGCTACACACTGTGGGACTTACCAAGAAGAGGATCCGAGCACTTATGGACTGAATGGTTTGATGTGCAATGAGGATAATCTGTCGACTAACAGTTGTTAGTTTCTGTCAAATCTACCTTTTTGGCCACATCTATTACAGCCTTTTATACCTGCTATTTCCTGTCAGATTGATCTAATCTGTTCAAATCTGCTATTTTATTTCAAGGTGTTATTCTCTCAACAACAACAAAACTGTACTTTTCTACATTTGCTCTATTCTGTCTGGTCTACTCTATACTATCATATCTGCTATGCCATATGTACTATATTCTGTCAAATGTGCTATTTTCTGTCAAAGGAATTTTATTCTCACATCTATTACATTCTGTCACATCTACTACATTCTGTCACATATACCATATTCTGTGAAATCTACTATGTTCTGTTACATATCTACTAAAATATGCCACATCTGCAATACTGTGTCACATCTGCTATTGTCTGTCACATCTACTAAATTCTATCTCATTTGTCATATTGTGTCACATAGACTCTATTCTGTCACATCACTTACCTTCTAATAATATTCCCTCCTGTATATTCATTAGCTTTAGACATTGGCAGCGTCAACGTTCCAATGAGGTAGTCTTTAAGCATATTTTCATCCCACACCTGAAATCAATTCAAGAATACAAGCAGTGAAAATTATAAGGATAATCATCACGTAGCAGGTCCGTCGCTCTCATCACTGTCTGCCTGAAAGAAACTCGGTCTCACCAGCTCTCCCGCCTCATGTACTTCCATATTCAAGGATACACTTACATCCTGCACCCATCTTCATGTTAGTGAGCCCCTGCCCCTCCTTCCTGGTACCATGCCTTCTAATATATTTTTTTTCCAATCTGCCATAGCACTTGATATGACCAAAATATTTTAGTTTCTGAGGCAAGATGCTGTTTATTAGCCAATCTTCCTTGATCTTTAAACATGTCAGTATTTTTCTTCTTTGTCTATGGTATTCTCAGAACCTTTCTGTAGCATTTCAGCTCAAAAGCTCCTTTTTTTCAGTAAGGACTAAGAGATAGTCTACGACTCACATCAGTATGTTGCTACAGGTAAGATCCATGCGCTCACAATTTTAACATTAATTTCCTTGTTACTACGTAACTTTAGACTTATATAAAAAAAGATAGTGGTGTAGTAAAATCAGCACAGTGGTTTTTCAAAGGTTGAAAAGCATACCTCCTTAACTTATGACCGATGCAGCTTACGACAATCTACATTTAATTACCACACACAGAAAATAGATAAATAAAAATATAGTAAATAAAGAAAGATAGTTATATTAGTGGGGTAAAAATAGAAAAATGTTCACAGAACTGATGCTATTTACAGCATATTGTGCATATTTTCTTTTTATGTACAATAACCGATTGAATCATTGTGTTTTATAAGATAGTGGGTACATACACAATTGTTATAACACATTTGAATAGAAATGGTGTTGAAAAATATATATCTGACTATTGACCATTTCAGTGTATGATATATTAGATGGAATAGAATTTATTCGTAAGTTGAGAAGACCCTGTACGTTTTATGTTAGTTGAGAAGACCCTGTATGTTTATGTTAGTTGAGGAGACCCTGTATGTTTATGTAAGTTGAGGAGACCCTGTACGTTTATGTTAGTTGAGAAGACCCTGTACGTTTATGTAAGTTGAGGAGACCCTGTATGTTTATGTTAGTTGAGAAGACCCTGTATGTTTATGTTAGTTGAGGAGACCCTGTATGTTTATGTTAGTTGAGAAGACCCTGTATGTTTATGTAAGTTGAGGAGACCCTGTATGTTTATGTCAGTTGAGGAGACCCTGTATGTTTATGTAAATTGAGGAGACCCTGTTTGTTTATGTAAGTTGAGAAGACCCGGTATGTTTATGTAAGTTGAGGAGACCCTGTATGTTTATGTCATTTGAGGAGACCCTGTATGTTTATGTAAATTGAGGAGACCCTGTTTGTTTATGTAAGTTGAGAAGACCCGGTATGTTTATGTTAGTTGAGGAGACCCTGTATGTTTATGTTAGTTGAGTCATGATCATCATGAAGCAGGTCCTTTGCAGAACGTCGCTCTCATCACAGTCTGCCTGAAAGAAACTCGGTCTCTCGCCAGTTCTCCTGCCTCATATACTTTCATACTCAAGGAGTCACTTATATCCTGTGCCCATCTTCGTGTCGGTCGGCCCCTGCCCCTCCTTCCTGGTACCATGCCTTCTGCTATAGTTTGTTCCAATCCATTGTGGCGCTTGATTTGATCAAAATATTTCAGCTTCCGAGAAAGGATGCTTTTTATTAGCCAATCTTCCTTGATGTTCAGATCTTTTAAGATGTCGATATTTCTCCTCTTCTTTGTCCAAGTTATTCTGAGAATCTTTCTATAGCATTTCAGCTCAAAAGCCCCTATTCTCTTTCTTAAGGACTGAGAAATAGTTCATGACCCACATCCATATATAGCCACAGGGAAGATGCATGCTCTCAAAATTCTAATTTTTATCTCCTTGCTTTTAAGGCTGTGTTAGTTGAGTAGATCCTGTATATTTATGTTAGTTAAGTAGACCCTGTATGTTTATGTTAGTTAAGTAGACCCTGTATGTTTATGTTAGTTGAGGAGACCCTTGTATGTTTATGTAAGTAAAGAACATTTTTTTGCGCCACTGGCATCTGGAGCATTTGATGCTTGACTAATATTTGTATAGACCAATCGGAACTCAGTGGATGATATTGTCAGCAATTATCTGGCTGCCTTTACTTTGAAGAACTTTTTACCTTGTACCAATTTAAGGCTTGGCTGACATAAGATCCAAGGTCATGTTATAAACACGAACCTTGCTGCAAATTTCAGGAGTTCATTAATCATTTCACCCTGGTGACCTAGCCAAATCGATGACAAGCTCCCATAATTTAAATTTTTGAATGGTCCCGGGAAAACATCCTTAGAAAAATCAAACATCTGACACATGTCACATATAAAAATTGCACAAAATCAATTTATCCATCAAAACCCAAATAGAGAAAGGGGAGTCTTGTCTTGTCTTGTCTTGTCCACAATTGCCTCACAGTGTAGTGGGGAGTCGCAGTTTTCTATCCTGGGCCAGGTGTGTTGCACATGTTGTTGTTAGTCCGTGTTGCCTCAGGATCTCTGATATATTGTCTATCCATCGTACTCTCAGTCTGCCTCTTGCTCTAGGGCAGTAGTGCTGTTCGTTGTATGCTCGTAGAGGCAGTTGGTCGGTTTGCATTTGCATCAAGTGGCCAAACCACTCTTTTTGTTGCTTCTTTATGTATTGCAGGCATGGTGTGGTTCCTACAATTGATCTAATGTTCTCGTTTCGAACTCTGTTTCTCCTTGTGACATTGGCAGCCTTACGTAAGCATCTCATTTCGCACGTCGTGATCTTTGTAAACATGCTATTAAGTAAGGGGAGTAATGAACACAAATTAATGCAGCATAGAATCTACGGGCCTACAATATCTTGTGTCCTGTAAACTAATTTTGAGGTGACACTTATTTGACTCAGTGACATGGTCGTCTGATAAACACTGTAGCTATTCAGAAATAAAGAGGTAAACATTTCTATAAAGTCATCTCCTTTAAAGGAAACTAGCCCTCCTTCCCACACCCCCCCCCCCCACCCCACACACCACCCACCCCAGTATAGTTGTTAGTAAATTTAGTCATCCCCTTCATGCTCAAAGTTTGCACAGACACATAATTTTGTCTCACGGGCTGTGTGGTCTCGAGGTATAGAGTCCGCCTTGAGTGCGGGAGGTCAGCGTCAATCGTGTGTCCCTTACATATTGATTTGTATACGGCTCCGTAATTGTTTCTAATGTTCGGAACTACCATTAAAGTATTTAAAGACTGTTACTCTAACATTTTTCGTTGTATACAAGTCTTTGTTTGCCAACATGTAGGTACAAATTGATCCGATTCAATACTAGCATCATTTTCAGACAGTGCATTTTTTTATTTCGGGTTCAAGTGGCCATGGATAGCAATGTTCTGAATACAAATATGCCTTTCTGTGACTGTGAAATTGTTTCAGTCAGATGTTTTCTCATTCTAATAAGGATAATGCAAAATTTAAAAATTTGGGGAAAGTGATTCAAGCGGACAATACAAAATCATGAAATTAGACGAATGCTAGGAATAAAGCCAGTCTTACAGGTCATCAGAGAACAACAAATGAAGTGGTTTGGACATCTAACGAGAATGCCCCAGTACTATCTACCACAGCGAACCACACTGAAACGTTACAACGGGTATAGAGCTAGTGGAAGACCTCTGAAAATATGGAGTGATGGCATTAAGAACAGCCTTACAAAAATGAACATCAGTCCTAATAGTCCTCTTGACAGAGCTCATCAACGAACATTACATCTCCCCCCGACACTTCGATGAGGTACAAGGTGGAAGAGAAGAAGAAGAAGATTCAGGCGGTGAACTTACACCAGCGGCAGCTCAGTGGTCAGCAGTTCTGATGAAGTAAACCCAGGAGGTTTTATTTAATTTGTGAAGGATATGATAGTCACCCACATTTGCATCAACAGGACTGTTTTAAGACAGTACCACACTCATACCCTTGGCTAAGCTGCATTGCAATCATTGCAGCTATAGTCTGTATATAACTGTACAAAATGAATATTTTGTGTGAATAGGTTAATTTTTCTACCAATTTTTCTCTGAAATGTCTTCAGTACTCTATGAGACCTTAGAGCTCCTGAGTAATAAACTAACCCAGAAATGTATCATAACTTGTGAATTTGTTAGGAAACTGAACAAATTTAGAAGTGTTATTCTCAAATTTAGATATTCACTGCTCTTGTGGCTGCAAAACCATGGTATGTGAAGAATTTGCAAAAAATATGTCTTTGTAAACATAACACCTGCTGAATTCTTTTATCCTACTAACTATAACAGTATTAAACAAAAACATATCATCATATTCAAAATGTATATTTATCCCTCTTTCAAAAAATATATAATTTGGTAGGGATTATAAATATATTGCATTCTCAACTGCCTTTTTTTCCCCCATCCAATCAGCTATTTTTGTAAAGAGAAATTAAAGTAAGCCAAGTGTAACAAAATTCATGGGTCTGAAAAAGCTAGGGAGTCGGAAAGGCAGCTTTTATGGGAAAACAGTACCAACTGAAAGCGACATTTTGTGGCATCTCGAGGTGAAAGAATTAAGATGGTTGAGAAGAGAAATCAATACACAGCAGCTGTTACAGACTATTACTTCATAATGAATAGAAAAATGTATTATAATGAGGATACTAATTGCTCACTAACTTCTATAACAATATCTTCATTGGGTCTTTTCCGGTAGAAAGTCACTCTGTCCTTCCACTCAGGCTTGCCAGATTTCTTTGTTGTTGGAGTCCTAATCTCCTGGTTCTCACACTTCAAGATGCAATAAGCCTCTATACCTGTTTAGAAAAAAAAAATTTGTTCATCAGAAAATTGTGTGCATGAATTAGGCAAGATTGATTCATCTTCTTCTTTACTTCCTCTTTTACTGCTTTGGGTGTAGAGAGAGACATGAGGTTCTACTTCTTGATAATCTGGCTGCCTCTACCATAGACATATCATGCTATTGTAGAGTTTTACTGATATTATCTTTCCATATGTTCTTGCTCTGCCTCATGCTCTACATCCTTCTTCTCTTTTGGTGCTTGCATTTTATGGTATGGCATCACAAGGCACTCTCTCTCTCTAAGTCCGCAAACCACAGATTTTATTTTCTGTCTTTGTAAGTAATTTAGAATTGATTTTGTGCCAGCTGCTTCCCTCCTAACCTCATTCTTTATTTTATCTCTTCTAGTCACTCCTACAACCCTTCTAAGACTCACAACCCATATGACTAATATTTCATATGGTGTAAAATTTTAGGCAATATATTGTTGGTGTTTTCATTATTGAAACTCACAACTGGAAAAACTTTTTCTTATCTTCTTTTTCTTTATCTACTGTTAAAAGGGCGGTTGCACATTGTATTGTGGTTTTCAGCTAGACTGCAAAATCTACACCTTTTAGCTCAACACATCTGACCAGCTAATGCTTAATCATTCCCCTTTTATTATATGCTTGTTAGAGGGCTGCGTAGAGGAGAAAGGGCAGACCAAGAAAGATGAGGATTTGGAATGTGCCTGCCTGGACAACCCTCAGTCATGCAAATGCCAACTCTGTTGTATGACTAACAAATGAGGGGCAACTGACCAGACAATCAACAACAACTGGTGACCCAAGGACAGGTGGTATCATAGGACTATGACCATTCTAAGGGCAAGTGAGTCTGATTTTATTTTTCCTTTACTCATTCAGGGCATCATTTTTTTCTGGGGTTTGGACAGCAATAATTTTGAGCTAAATTTGTGTACTGCTACATGACAAAGCTAAAGCCTTCCTGAAGAAAAATTACTCACTGTAATCTTCCTTTTTTTTTCTGCCTACTATCCCCAGTGGAGTATAGACCCTTATTAAACTTCAGGTCAAGACATTCTATCTTAAGATATTGCATGCAGCTCACCCCCATGCCCTCCCCCTCTTTTTTAAATTCACTCTCTAGCTCAATTTTCCATGTGAGTTTGTGGTCTGCCTTTATTTCAATGCCCCTGTGTGTTCCAGTGCAAAGACATTCTAGTTATAGTGTTCTCAGGTTTTCTCAGTGAGCGTCCTATCTAATGCCAGCATCTTTTCTTCACCTCTTGGTCCACTGGGACTTGTTTAGTTCTCTCTTAAAACTCTGCATTAGTGATTCTATCAATCAAACCTATTGCCTCATGATAATTTTTTTTCCCAAAAACTAGTTTTTCGAAACATGTTCATTCAAATTCATTTTCCTACCAAACGAGAGAGTCTATATTAGGAACTGACATATCTGTAATAGGGAAAAATGGGACTTATTCTCACGACGATATATCTGCAATATGTCCTGAAATGAGATTTTTTTTTTTTAGTATCCAGAAGCCATGAGTAATTAACCCTTAGGCTCAGTACTATGGATATCGTAACCCTTGGACCTTGATTCCATGATAAATATCGTAAGTCTGGGAGAAATGTGGCTTTTCTGCCTATCCGCGGGCGTGAACCCGGACTACAAGGAGTTCGTTATCCGGTCACTGCGCAATCCGGTTTAGACAGCAGGGCCCTGAAAAAGATAAAATGGGATCCAAGAACCCACACAGTTATCCAAGAACCCATACAGGAATCCAAGAACCCACACAGGGACTATGAAAAAACATTCTTTTAACCCACACAGGGACTATGAGAAAACATTCTTTTAACCCACACAGGGACTATGAGAAAACATTCTTTTAACCCACACAGGGACTATGAGAAAACATTCTTTTAACCCACACAGGGACTATGAGAAAACATTCTTTTAACCCACACAGGGACTATGAGAAAACATTCCTTTAACCCACATAGGGACTATGAGAAAACATTCTTTTAACCCACACAGGGACTATGAGAAAACATTCTTTTAACCCACACAGGGACTATGAGAAAACATTCTTTTAACCCACACAGGGACTATGAGAAAACATTCTTTTAACCCACACAGGAACAATGAGAAAACATTCTTTTAACCCACACAGGGACTATGAGAAAACATTCTTTTAACCCACACAGGGACTATGAGAAAACATTCTTTTAAACCACACAGGGACTATGAGATAAAATTCTTTTGTATTTCTAAAACATAAAATGTTTACCAGTCTCTCCCTCTGGAAGTTTGAATCCTTCTATGGCATGAACACAAATGGAAGTGGCTGCAACCTTTGGCTTCATGAAGAATCTTGGGGGACTTGGCACATCTTTGCTCATTTCTCTGTTCAGAAATAAAAGTGAACAAGTTGAAAACTTGCTTTACATGATTAGTGTTGACTATCATCATAGTACTCTGAAGATATGCTCAGCCGCTCCAGAGAGCCACCTTTTCTGGGCTGGTGATAACATTCTTCTCTTTACACCAGCCAGTCACTCTGCCTGTTGTTGCCTGTAGCTCTTGAGCTGTCTGTTGCCTATTGCTTCCCTGCCCATATATCAAAAACATCATCTCCATTGTCAATAACCTTATAACTTCTGGAGCTTGATGTTCTCCAATCTTGCTTCTATACATACTGAAGAGCACTGGTATGCAACAGGGCTGTCAAAGCTACTTTTTTACCACCCCTCATAGTGGACTCCAGAAGTAGAACAGGCAGGGAAAGCAAGGAGAGCTACATTGAAGCAACTAAGGAATGTGTGACTGACACCCCTAAGCTCATGAGAGGAAGTGGAGATGTCAGGACATGTTAAAAAAGATAAGGTGGAAGTTTTCAAGACTGAGCTGTAGAGGCTGAAAATAAAGCCATGGTGAAAATTGCAGATCCACATGGTAGTCCCATGGTGGTATTGTATAGCTCTGAGGTTCAGACTGTACCCCAGCGTCTACCAGCCTGGACAAAGACACAGAAGCGTACTTATTGCTGTAATTACCTTCCAAATATGCATCTTGCGTGGCTTTGGTGATGCATATGAATAATGCTAGCTTCAGATCATCTAAATAGTTGCCTCTGGCATCAACCAGAAAGATGTAAAGCTTCATACAAATTAACAAATTTACATGTACTAATCTGAAGTCCTGGTAGCATAGCAGTTAGGACTCTTGCATGCTGTGCTGAAGATCTTAGGTTCAAATCTGCATTTTTAAATTTATTTTTTCATTTTTTGAAAACTGACCATGGCTCCCAAGGTACACCCAGCCAGGGGTACCAGGTAATGCAGATGAGAAAAGCAGAGATAGGAGGTCACACCAAACATAAACATCAAACACTAGTGAAAAATGGCAGATAGGTAGCTTCATTATATATGGCAGATAGGTAGCTTCATTATATATGGCAGATAGGTAGCTTCATTATATATGGCAGATAGGTAGCTACATTATATATGGCAGATAGCTAGCTTCATTATATATGGCAGATAGGTAGCTACATTATATATGGCAGATAGGTAGCTACATTATATATGGCAGATAGGTAGCTTCATTATATATGGCAGATAGGTAGCTTCATTATATATGGCAGATAGGTAGCTTCATTATATATGGCAGATAGGTAGCTTCATTATATATGGCAGATAGGTAGCTTCATTATATATGGCAGATAGGTAGCTTCATTATATATGGCAGATAGGTAGCTTCATTATATATGGCAGATAGGTAGCTACATTATATATGGCAGATAGGTAGCTTCATTATATATGGCAGATAGGTAGCTTCATTATAAATGGCAGATAGGTAGCTACATTATATATGGCAGATAGGTAGCTTCATTATATATGGCAGATAGGTAGCTTCATTATATATGGCAGATAGGTAGCTACAATATATATGGCAGATAGGTAGCTACATTATATATGGCAGATAGGTAGCTTCATTATATATGGTAAATAGGTAGCTACAATATATATGGCAGATAGGTAGCTACATTATATATGGCAGATAGGTAGCTTCATTATATATGGCAGATAGGTTAGCTGACATTATATATTGCAGATTAGGTAGACTACAATATATATGGCAGATAGGTAGCTACATTTATATATGGCAGGATAGGTAGCTTCATTATAAATGGCAAATAGGTAGCTACAATATATATGGCAGATAGGTAGCTACATTATATATGGCAGATAGGTAGCTTCATTATATATGGCAGATAGGTAGCTACATTATATATGGCAGATAGGTAGCTACATTATATATGGCAGATAGGTAGCTACATTATATATGGCAGATAGGTAGCTACATTATATATGGCAGATAGGTAGCTACAATATATATGGCAGATAGGTAGCTACATTATATATGGAGATAGGTAGTAGCTTCAATTATATATGGCAGATAGGTAGCTACCTTATATATGGCAGATAGGTAGCTACATTATATATGGCAGATAGGTAGCTACAATATATATGGCAGATAGGTAGCTACATTATATATGGCAGATAGGTAGCTTCATTATATATGGCAGATAGGTAGCTACCTTATATATGGCAGATAGGTAGCTACATTATATATGGCAGATATGTAGCTACCGCGCTAATTATATATGGCAGATAGAGGTGCTACATTATATATGGCAGATAGGTAGCTACAATATATATGGCAGATAGGTAGCTACATTATATATGGCAGATAGGTAGCTTCATTATATATGGCAGATAGGTAGCTACATTATATATGGCAGATAGGTAGCTACATTATATATGGCAGATAGGTAGCTACAAAGATAAAAACTCTATCTATAGCAGATATGGTAGAGTAGAGCCTACATTATATATGGCAGATAGGTAGCTACATTATATATGGCAGATAGGTAGCTTCATCCACTTGAGGACTTTATTCTTCCTCTAAAACTTGAGTTTTGAAAGCACATATATTCTAGTGACAGATCTGGCTTACTTGCATGCAGACTGTTGGTTCCTCACCTCCCAGGCAGATGCACTCCGATCTTTGAAGGAAACATCCCTAATTAGTTGATTCTAACATGCTTGTTACGGAACAATGGAACTATTCTTTTTTTCCCCCACAATGGGGCCCCAGAACCCACATTGGCAGCATTAGTTATGAGAGGACCCATCATCCCCACCTATGATCATGCCTGGTACAATTATAATAATCCCACCTAGTAACTCAGTCAATTAATCCTAACATGTCATCATACCAAGTTTCTGCTGAGTATATTAGCACACATGATACACAGTTACTCACTTCAATATTAATCCACCATCACTGTACAACCGCAACAAATACTGACCCTCAAAACCTGGGTCAAAGGTTGAAGGTATTAGACAGTATCGACCTTTTTTCAACTCCAGTCGAGAAAGAATACTGCGAGCTTGGACAAATGGGCCTGCGTGGACTCGGTCCATTCGGTCATGCATTCGGTACTTTCTGTTTAAGTCTGTCTGCAAAATAAAGAACAAAAATTAGATCACTGTCAGGCATCGTCACTTATCATCATCATCATCAGGTGCCTTGCCAACTGGCATGGGCGATCATGCCTCTCCACAATCCGCGATCTCCTGCAGCATGTATCAGTTGGTGTCCTGACACACCTCCATGCCATGCAACAAGACTGATAAGAATCTTCTCTCATTGTCTTCCTCTATCTCTCCTTCCACAGATCTTTCCAGTGGTCACCACATGTTCCATTTTCCCTCTTCTCATAACATGGCCGAAAAATGATGTCTCCTTCTGATGTCTGTGATAAGTTGTCTACGGGCTTCCGCCTCTTTCAAAACCTCTTGGTTGCTTTTTTGGCTGTCCAAGGTATTTTAAGCATTCTTCTGTAAAATTACATCTCTGAGGCCTCAAGAAATTGTTTGGCCTGTCTACCGATTGTCCAGGACTCACAGCCATATGTTAAAATTGGATGTATGTAGTAAGAAAGAATTCTTTCACTCATCACTCACAACCCGAAAAAATTTAAATTATTAGCAATTGAATTGAATATCAGGAAGCTACCGGAGTGAACAGTAGAGATAATATCAGAATGAACACCATGAGAGAAACAAAACTGGCACTGAGATAGTACTGGATTGCGTTCAGAAACAGCAAATAAAATGGTCTGCCCACTTAGAGAGAATGTGGCGACAGTGGCTTAGGCGTTGCGAGTCCGACTCGTGATTCTGCGTGGATTTTTATAATGGTAAGGGGCATCGCAGGTCGACCCAGTCTTAAATGGGTACCAGGATGGCTGTCCTGGGAAAGTAAAGACCACATTACCAACCAAGTGACGATGGTCTGTAAAAATATAGGAGCTTTTCCCATATACCCGATACGCTTAAAGGCGTGAAAAGGGATCTTTACTTTACTTACATAGAGAGAATGCCTTGCGATATATGTAAACACATCCAAATCTAAGGCTTATAATTTTTTTAATGACAACATGAGCTTTCATAAATGTGGTGGCGTCAGCCCTAGGTTTTAACCTTTAACCCCGAGGACCAAGGTGTCTCTCTTTGCCTGTTCTCTACTCTTTGACCTGTCAGGCTTGGGAGATCCTGCTGTGAGCTGTGCACAAAGTTGATATAGCTCACAGGGTCATTGAGACACACAAGCTTCCCTACCACTGCAAGGAGAAGATAAATCTGCTTCCCCTACCACTGCAAGGTGAAGATAAATCTGCTTCCCCTACCACTGCAAGGTGAAGATTAATCTGCTTCCCTACCACTGCAAGGTGGAAATAAATCTGCTTCCCTACCACTGCAAGGTGGAAATAAATCTGCTTCCCCTACCACTGCAAGGTGGAGATAAACATGCTTCCCTACCACTGCAAGGTGGAAATAAATCTGCTTCTCCCTACCTCTGGCAAAGGTGAATTGTTTTTTTTTTCTTTAAATTATTACAGAGTAATTGAGGTTTGAGGTTTTGAGGTTTTGAACAACCTATCAACATCATAGCACACGGGTAGAAACCCATAAGTGCTCCGTTCTTCTTCCAACTTAAGTCTGAGTCTAAAGAAGCTCAGCACAGTGCACAGGCTCTGTAGCACTGGCGAGGATCCTGAAATACTTTGGGTAGATTTTCAACTCTAAATTTTGCTCAGGCAGCGCCGTTAGGCCACTCTTTTTGATTTTCAACTGCCAATGTATTTTTTACATGCGCGACAATACACACAGTGCGTCGGATCTCACTACCCAGAGACAAGGGGGAATTACTAGAAGTCCAAGTCCACGTGAAAGAATCCCAACTCTTACCGGGATTGAACCCAAAACCTCTAGCATTCGAGGCAAACACCATGCCCCCAAACCACCTAGTGGTTCAAAGTGAAAAAAATTGAACGCATGTTGAGAAAACCTAAGAACAATATAACTAAAATGTATTTGGCCTGGAACCCACAGGGGAATAGAAAGAAAGGAAGAACCCCAAAAAAAAGTGTAGAAGAGAGCTAGAGAGTGAAGTTAAAAAAATGGACATCAAGGGACATCAGAGACATCAGAGATCCGCATGCAATAGCAAAGGACAAAACGACTTTGCATGAGTTGGTTGACGGCCTATGCTCACTGGGGAATAGAAGGCAGAAGAAAGATTACTTACTTTGATAATTGTAAACCCAATACAATAATTTTCTCCTCTTGTTCTAAAGTTGGAAGATCGGCGGTCTTCTTGTTCAAGTGAGACCATCAGCTCATCTTCATCTTCAAAAAGCTCTAGAAGGTACTAGAATATATTTAATAAAATCAAATTGTTACCAGAAAAACAATAACAAAATTACCATTATTTACAATTAAAGTTAAGAACACCATGGAATATTGGATATATATACCTAATGTCAAGAATATCACTGAACACTGACAGTCGGCCGGCGTGACGCTGACCACATCACCCATTTTGTGCCGACTGGTCTATAAAATATAGGTCTAGCCCTATAAGCCCTATACACCTAAGTTGTGGAAAAAGGGTCCAGTACTTTACTTTTTACTGACAGTCAGCGATAACATAAAATATTCCATTTCTCATAAATGTAAAGTAAATAAAGGACTCTTTTCCGGCCTTCATGTGTATTAGGCATATAGGGCTAGACCTAACAATCAGCACTTGATGAGTGATCAGGTCAATGTCATGCCAGCCACCTTTACTTCCCAAAACTCCACCTGGTACCCATTCAAGGCTGGGTTGACCTGCGAGCCAAGGTCATGCCTGAGAGCAAAGGTCATTTTTTTAAAAGTCTGCTACCGCCAGGGTCTGAACCCACAACCTGGGTATCTGGCCGCTACACCACGACCTGGGTATCTGGCTGCTACACCACAACCTGGGTATCTGGCTGCTACACCACAACCTGGGTATCTGGCTGCTACACCACAACCTGGGTATCTGGCTGCTACACCACGACCTGGGTATCTGGCTGCTACACCACGACCTGGGTATCTGGCCGCTACACCACGACCTGGGTATCTGGCCACTACACCACGACCTGGGTATCTGGCCGCTACACCATGACCTGGGTATCTGGCTGCTACACCACAACCTGGGTATCTGGCTGCTACACCACAACCTGGGTATCTGGCTGCTACACCACAACCTGAGTATCTGGCTGCTACACCACAGCCTGGGTATCTGGCTGCTACACCACAACCTGGGTATCTGGCTGCTACACCACAACCTGGGTATCTGGCTGCTGCACCACAACCTGGGTATCTGGCTGCTACACCACAACCTGGGTATCTGGCTGCTACACCACAACCTGGGTATCTGGCTGCTACACCACAACCTGGGTATCTGGCTGCTACACCACAACCTGGGTATCTGGCTGCTACACCACAACCTGGGTATCTGGCTGCTACACCACAACCTGGGTATCTGGCTGCTACACCACAACCTGGGTATCTGGCTGCTACACCACAACCTGGGTATCTGGCTGCTACACCACAGACCTGGGTATCTGGCTGCTACACCACAACCTGGGTATCTGGCTGCTACACCACGACCACTCCCTTCTCATAAATGTGTCTTCACTGAATAGTGGAGTCATGTGCTGTTGTGTTTTATTTTTAATTGAAAGGCAATATTTGTGTATAATCAGACTCCTTCTAGCAACATCGTCGGTAATGGAACTCTGTACTGGCTGCTGGAGATGATGATGAGACACTTATGGGAATGTCTTGAGTGATGGCAATATCAGTTCTTAAAACATACATGCATGTGTCTGGGGGTAGCTTTGCTCTTTTACCAACAAGCTGGTTAGTTGTCACTAGTCGGCCATAATCCCAAGTTATGAGTTAACAACCAACATCACAGAACAGGTGATAGTCCCATAAGCGCTCCATTCCCATCTTCAGCAGCAAGCACACAGTTCCAGTTCTGATGGCACTAGCAACGGTCTGACTGTATGTCCATCTCACCTCTTCCCTGACTGTATGCAGATTAATGTAGTGACAGGAAAATAGAAAATCAAACTGAGTCTCTGAAAATGTGGATAAACAGAAGAAAAGGTCATATTTAATGGAAAAAAAAAAACACATCTAGCATGAGAATGGAGGTGGAGGCAGTCACTGCAGCTTGCCAGTGGCTAGAGAACAAGATATATACAAATATCGTAACTGTAAAGGACTGGACTCTGAAAGCATGCTGAAAAATGTGAAGACAGGATTGCTTTGAGCAAAGAGGCAAGCTTCATTTGCAAGGTCACGGGTACTGAGCATACTCTGGATCTTTTCTCCAGACTATGCCGGCATGGAGGGGAATGAACAGGCAGATAGATTAGCTGGATCTGTACCGCTGAGTGGTGAATTGATTCATGACAAGGCACATGTGGTCAAGGCCCTTTGAGAACAAGTAATGAAGTCAAAAGAGAAAAAAATTATTATGATCTTTAGAAAACCAGAGGGTTCGGCCGGCACACTACACTCATAGGAAATGCAAGACGGACATGCAACCAGACTACGACCAACACCATTAGTATTGGAATGCTGTGCTGGCTGCTGAGGATGGGGCCACAGCATGCATGGGAATGCCCAGAGTGCTGTGATGTCAATTCTAGACTCAACTCAACTCAGTTCCATGGAAACAAAAACAATAAAATCCCTGTGTGGGTTCAAATGCCCTGTTATAAGGAAAACAAGAATAGACCCACTGCCTACCCAAAAGCACATCGTAAAAGTCGACTAATTGGGAGCTTCCTTTGAAGTCATAGTGCATCTGCCTGAGAGGCATTGAATCAACAGTCTGCATACAAATTAGATCTGTAAAATGGATGCATACACAATACTCATGTTCTGAAACAGGACTGCAGTCCGGAAGTGGAAGAAGTGGACGAACAACCAGAACTTTTAGCCAGAGTTTACAGCTGGTGAACGCGAAGAAAGAAGAATCAAATACTGAAGTTCTAGAGGAAATGCCAAAGAAAACTTAGTTACTGAAATAAATAAAAAAGAGACAATGAAAATTCTGGCCACATTAAATGACATAGCTGCAAATCATTTACAGGAAGTTGCAGAGATCCACTACAGGCAACCTTCATTGTGCAGATGGCACCTGATTGCTTGACTGATGTACTGACTATGGTTACCTTGCTCACATTCAACAATTTTTTTTTTTATTATAATAACATAAACCATTTCAAGTTGCAGTCTAAGTAATTTCTTATTGCAACATATATTTTCTTTTTCATTCTTATTTGACATTGCCTAGTTGGAGCTATCAAATCTGTCACTCCCAAGAAGTTGTTTTTAACATCTTCTATCTTCAGTGATTAAGCAGTAAATACTTAGGTCTCAGATATTTGATCAAAGATTCTATGAGACAGAAATACTTAAACTAATAATTCAGATACAGAAACTTAAAATAACTAAATTAATAATTCAGACACAATGGGTTGATTAAAAAAAACTAATAATTCAGATACACAGTTAATATAAATAAACTAATAATTCAGATATAAATGTTTAATGTAACTAAACTAATAATTAAGATACAAAGGTTATTATAACTAAATTTATAATTAAGATACAATGGGTTAATGTAACTAACCTAATAATTCAGTTACCAAGGATTAATATTAATTAAACTAAAAATTCAAACACAAAGGCTTAATACAACTAATTTATTAATTCAGACACAAAGGTTTAATATAACTAAATTAATAATTCAGACACAAAGGGGTAATATAAGTAAACTAAAAATTCAGAAATAAAGGGTTAATATAACAACTGTATGTGATAGAGGGCAGCTGAAACGTTATATTACTTTTAGAATGGCACATGAATGTGGGGTGCATCATTTGGTGATGAAAGAGTCAACAATCAGCTGTCAAAATACCTGTGGGTTTTGTAAGAAAGACTGATGGTTACCACATCCTCCTGCTGTGTGACCTCTTCTCCATTCTCCAGTACAGACGCTCTCCTTCCATGTCCGTTTGAGTGTGAAGAATGATGTGTTCATCATGTGGCAGATGTCGATGTGAGTGAAATATCGACAGAAATCTTCAAATGCCATCCTGTGATGAAAAATTAAATTAACAGGGTTTAACTGCAGTATAGCTTGCATCCCTTGAGTTATGTGATTAACATCATAATTTCATTCCTAGGGCATTACCTGATACCCACTGTAGACTGCGATGACCTGAAAGTGAAGGTAAGTTTTGAAAAGAAAAAGAATTCCTTGATCTGGACATAAACCAGAAAAGGAGAGGGAAGTAGACCATCCACAAACACAAAAAATAATGAAGGAGTGAAGATTACTTTCAAAATATTGTAAATTAGGATTGCAGGCCCATTTTAGATCTGACCCTTTCGAACATGAATTTTTTCACCATGGCAGTTGTATTTTATAAATAAAGCATATTACGTTTCTGTGTCAAAATTCATAGTTTCAGTTTGAAGTGAATATACAAAAGTACGGAGACAACTGTATATTTGTGTATGTGCATACAAATGTTCAGTGTCGAGCATTGGCCAGATCCTCTTGTAACTCCTCGCAGTGCCATTCTCCTCAGTAATCATCTATCTGTGCCTCGGCTGTTCACTGACTCCCAAAAGGGCCCTCACAACATCAAGCTTGTCATACATCAGTTCACCACCAAGTTGTGCAATACCGGCCAGTCTATCTGCCTACTCATTTCCTAACACATCAGCATTACTTGGAGAAAATATCCAAAGGATGCTAACTACCCAGGACCTTTGAAGTGATGCTTGCCACTCTGCACGGAGCATGCCTGCTCCACATTTCTCAACATGCCCTGTGAGTCAGTTACAATGATGGCATGTGCTGATTCTCAAGCCAGTGGAAGGCAGCAGTGACTGCCTCCACCTCCATTCTCAAACTAGATGTTGTGATATCATATCCCCGGCTTTGTTGCACAAAGCATTGTCCATCTGCTAAAAACTGGAACTAAAGTTATCTGATTACCTGGTTCCTTGTATCCATTTTTAGGCCGGGTCAACCTTGCAGCCCAAGATCAATCATAAAAATCAAACTAGACTCAAGAACCCGCAGGCAGGCAGGCAAACAACTAGCTATTGCACTACTGCGGCTCCCAAAGCAAATGACTGTGTATGTGTACATGAGAGTGTGCAGTATGTTGTGTGTATGTGTACATGAGAGTGTGCAGTATGTTGTGTGTATTATGTGTACATGAGTGTGTGCAGTATGTTGTGTGTATGTGTACATGAGAGTGTGCAGTATGTTGTATTATGTTTATGGGTGTGTGTGCGTGTATGCATGCATGCGTGTGTGTTTTTGTGTGGGTTTTTTTAATATAATACTGAGAAATTCTAATTTTAAAAATTAAATTTTGTTAGCTTAGGTTAAATGACACATACCAGAACTCCCCATTCTCATCAAAGGTCAGCCCCAATTCCTTTTTCTCTGACTCGCTCACTTTTTTCCATTCCGGTGATCTGAAAATTAGAAATTAGATTACATTATTTAAATGTCAATCACTGTAAGCAAATAATTAACACCAAATAACTTTCTTTGAACCATCCTGGTATGATGATACTGGCAGAATGAAAAGCCTTTCTGCTCGGTAAGGCTGCTAATCCAGCATTGCCAGAAACAGATTTAATTATAGTGACTTTGTGTGCGCCTGATACAGATAAGTAAACAGAGGTGGAACTCTTCATACCATAGAAACATATAGTAAAGTAAAGGGCCCTTCTCCACACCTTTCAGGTGTATTGGAAATATAAGGCTAGACCTGTATTTTATAGACCAATGGCACAAGGTGGGTGATGTGGTCAGCATCACGCTGGTAGCCTTTACTTCCCAGGACTGCACCTAGTACTCACTCAAGGCTGGGTCGATCTGGTAACCAAGGTTATTTTTTAAATAAGTCCAGCTCAGCCAGGGAGTGTACCTACAACCTTCTGATCCACAGGCTGGCATCTAGCTGCCAACACCACTCCTCATGTATGTGTGTGTGTATGTATATATATATATATATATATATATATATATATATATATATATATATATATATATATATATATATATATAGAGAGAGAGAGAGAGAGAGAGAGAGAGAGAGAGAGAGAGAGAGAGAGAGAGAGATGAAAAGGGGTGGGGGGGGGTAATAAAATGATGGATACACTTTCATTCATGTGTATATCCTTGATTGTTCATTGTTCATTGTTCATTTTAGAGATTATCTTCATCGCACATCGGACATGACCACAAATGCTCTGATCTCTTCCTGACTTTATCTCCAAGTGTTTTTAGGCTAACAACTCCCATTCTGTTCTGACTGAAGTAACTACAGGTGGCTCCCACATGGTTTTCCTGTCTCGTGACTCCAACTGGTACACTAAGGGTATGCAGTCTATTCAGTGAACAAATCATTTTGTGTATTTTCATATTTCCTTGAATATATATATATTGAATATGAATAATACACATACAAGAGAAAGTGGTAGATCTTGTATTGTGATTATATAGAAAATACCTGTATCATGAATAGCTAGAAAACCCTTGTATCATGAATAGCTAGAAAACCCTTGTATCATGAATAGCTAAAAACCCTTGAATTATGTATAGCTAGAAAACCCTTGTATCATGATTATCTATAAAACAACTGTATCATGAAAATCTAGAAAACACTTGTATCATGATTACTGAGAAAACACTTGTATCATGATTATCTAGAAAACACTTGTATCATGATTCTCTAGAAAACACCTGGATCATGATTATCTAGAAAACATCTTTATCATGATAACCTAGAAAACATGTGCATCATTATTACTTAGAAAACACTTGTATTATAGATTAGCTAGAAAACAATTGTTTCATGATCATCTAGAAAACACTTCGAGTTCCGAAACTAATGGTGCCAGTAGCATTCTGATTAAACATCCTTTTTTTGCCTTTCCTCTGAGCCTCGAGCATCTGCCAGAACCTCTCATCACTCCTCCCTACATCAATCTCACCAGACTGTTGGGATCCATCTGTTCCTCCAAACTGTACATGCTCTCCCACCAAGAGTCTGCCTTATTAAATAAGGTTAATTATTTGTCACGCAACCATGCAATTTTCAGATATCTCAATGTTCAAATGAGATTTTCTCAAAACAAATTTTTTGCGCTAAGGTGGATTTGGCATTGTGCTAATAACAACTACACTACAACAATTCTTACCCATCACTCCATGCTCCCCTCCACTCGACACCACCCCACGGATTTCTCAGTCTCACCATGTGGATTTTATCTCTATTAAACAGACTGAAGAGACCAGTGCCTTTCAACGGTATCTTCCGAACATCAGTAATACTGTACGCATGACCTCTAACCAAACCAATGCTTAGTTTGGTTTCCATTTCAGCAGCAGTCCTGGCCTGTGAAAACAACAAAATTCATGGTTTAATACTGCCTATGTCAGAAGTAAAGCTATTTATCTCAGTAACTGATTGTGTTAGCATTAAAACTCTACTTTGTCAATGAAATTTTGAGAACCACTAAAGATACATATCTATATAAAATGAAAGTATGACATTCAAAAATAAATGACTCAAGAAAATGATGAATATAAAATGTGAGGAATTCAAAAGAAGCTAAGAAATAACAGAAATGTCTGCACAACCGTTAGTAGTAACAGTTAAAAGACGGAGAAGATGGCACTATATTGGAGGCATTTTGAGAAATGACAACTGAGGATCACCAGTCAGGCAATGAAACTAGAAATAGATGGATTAAGAAAACAAGGATGCTGAAGAAACCCTAAGGTGAATGTTGAGAGAAGCCAAAGGTGCCTGACTGGATTCCTACCGTAATATCAAAGCGATTGCACAGGGTAGAACAAATAGAGAAATAAACTGTGAGCCCTATGAAACATATAGTGGTACAACAGGACAATAAATAAATGAATAAAACTCTCATGCTGGCAATAATAATACTGTCATCATCATCATGTAGCAGGTCCTTTTCAGAAAGTCGCACCCATCACAGCCTGACTGAAAGAAACTTGGTTGCCGACCAGTTCTCTTGTCTCAAGCACTTTGCTGTGTCTCTGATGTCCAGTGGCCATGTGTGTGCTGTCTGTCTTACCCTGTACTATGCCCGATGTTACGGTTCTTCGTGTTCACTGTCGGATCTGATTTGGACAAAGTATTTAAGTTTGTATACTGTTTATGAAAGAATTTTCTTGATGTTCAGATCTTTTAGGATCTCAATATTTCTCTTCCGCATGGTACCTGGTATTTTAAGAATCTTTCTATAACATTTCAGCTCAAAAGTCAGTATTTTCTTCCTTAATGACTGCTAAGATAGTCCATGACTCACATCTGTGCATTGCAACAGAAATAATGTTGTTGAATGTTGAATTAAAAATTGACATCACAGCAATTGGGACACTCCCATTAGTGCTCTGTCCCCATCTTCAGCAGCAAGCAAAGAATTCCAATTCCGATGGTACCAGTGGCCGTCTAATTGTATATCTGTATCATCCTTCCCCTGAGTTTTAGCGTCTGCCAGATCCCCTGGTAACTCCTCGCAGCACCATTCTCCTCAGACCGTAATGATCTATCTGTGCCTCCTCACTGTTCACTCGTTTCCAACGAACCTTCACATCATCTAGCTTGTCATCCATCAGTTCACCACCAAGTGGTGCAGAGCCGGCCAGTCTATCTACCTGCTCATTTCCCAACACACCGGCATGACCTGGATAAAATAAATAATGCTGTACATTTAGATAATAAAGTAACATAAGTAAAAAACCTGTCAGGAATCAAGTAATTCATTAAGAAGTCCAGAATTAACATCCCTCTATTAAAACATTCCTTCACATGCTCCATCACATTCTTCAGTAGTTTTATAAATATCTTTTATAGCCATGTAAAAGTTGAGTTGAGTTGATTCAAGAACCGACATCACAGCACTCAGGGCATTCCGATAAGCACTCCGTCCCCATCTTCAGCAGCCAGTAAAGAGTTCCGATACTAATGGTGCCAGTAGCATTCTAATTAAACGTCCGTCTTGTCTTTCCTCTGAGCCTCCTGCATTTGTCAGAACCTCTCATCACTCCCGGCTGCCATGAAAGAAGAAAATGGTTTTTCAAAGTCAAACATAAATGATGAGAGTGAAAATGAAAGAAAGATACATAATTTTTTCTTTTAAACAAGGAAGAAGAAAAATATTTTTATCACCTGAATGTTCGCACACATGAGGGACATCTTGGATTTGGCCTTGTGTAAAATTTCAAACAATTTATCTTTAGACTGTTCCGTTCTGAACTCAGCAACCTCCAGTCCTTCGCCGACCCCACCGGTCATGTCTACCATGGCATCCCTAGCCTTGCCAGCAGTCAAGGCCTCGTAACATCCAAACAGCCTGAAAATATTGCACCAGTAAAAAATAAAAATAGATATCTGTTCATCGTCATAATCTAGTAATCTAATGAGATGTACTGTCTCTCACTTAAATGAGCAATCGGAATTGGAAATCCTCGCTTGCTGCTGAAGATGGGAACTGAGCACTTATGGGGGTGTCCTGAGTGCTGTGATGTCAATTCTTAATTAAACATTCAACATTCACTTCAGTGAGCAATGATGTATTGTAAGTAAAAAAGCTAAGTACCATTTTTAAGGCAATTAATGAATGGGCATATGATGTTAAGATTCATATTTGTATAGACCATTTAGCCCTTTATGGCTGATAAGGTCAATTTCATGCCGGCCACCTTTACTTCCCAGGACTTTATTTGGTACCCTTTGTTTAGGCTGGTTGACCTGGGAGGCAAAGTCAATTTTTTTTTAAATCTGATTTGATGCAGATTTGAACCCACAAACTTTGGGCAGGCAGATAAGTGCCTAATGATTTAAGACCAAATAAAAATCTTCTTCTCCCCCATTTTCACTGGCTGTAAACTCAGTGGAAAGTTCTGGTTGTTCACCCACTTCTGCACTTTTGTCTTGTTCCAGAAATTGAGCTTTGTGTGCACATACATTTTACAAATCTAGCTTATTTATATGCAGACTGTTGGTTTCTCACCTCTAAAGCTGATGCATTCTGACTCTGAAGGAAACCCAAATTAATTGTTTGTGGAAAGGGGGAGGGGGAGTGGGTCTATTGTCCCCCCCCCCATCCCCAAATGGAGCCCCCGAACCCACACGGTGGGGGGGGGGGTCAAGCCATTGAAATGATGGATAGAATGCCTGGGAATTTCAATAAACAAAACATAAAAACTGTTTCTCATCTCCGATTGATACTTCATCAGAATGCCACAAGATAAAAGGGCAGCACACTGAGGTGATGGGAGGAGTGCTGAAACAATAATATCATGTTCAACTCTTTTGGGTTATAACTGGAATGCACAGTTTCTTTGTTTTTCTATTTATAAATAATGAGTATTCATGAATATCAATTATGTTAGGTTATTTGGTATTGCACGGCCTCCGTGGCTTAGGCGTTGCGAGTCTGACTCGTAATTCCAATGTACTGCTATCGAAACCCACTGCAGGCTGCATGAATTTTTATCATGGTATGGGGCATAGCAGGTCGACCCAGCCTAAAATGGGTACCAGGATGTATGGCCTGAGGAAGTAAAGATGGCTGGCGTAATTCAAACCCCATTACCCAGTCCCCATCTTCAGTAGAAAGCAAAGAGTTCCAATTCCGATGGTACCAGTAACTGTCTGATTGTATATCCATCTCATCCTTCCCCTGAGTGTTCAGCGTCGTCCAGACCCCCTGGTAACTGCTCGCAGTGACATTCTCCTCAGATTGTAATGATCTATCTGCGCCTCCGCACTGTTCACTCGCTCCCAGCATGTGTTCTACTATCATAAAATGATTGTAGTGGATGATATATTAATTAAGGGAGGTTTTCAGGGTTTATATTTCTTGCACTCTAGTTAATAATGTTCAATATTATTATGTATCTGACATCCAAAAGACATGTCTCCTGCTATAGTGAAATTAGCCACGCTAAGTTGTGGTCTTAGTAATGTCTTACCGCAAGGGATTTTTAGTTCACCTGTTATTTGACATTTTCTAGTTGTAGCTTTGAATACTTTGTAGAAATGTCTTCCCTTATTTGCTATCAGGTGTAAATTATTTTTCACATCATGAATCCACCTATCCACCTCCTCTCCGCTTCTGTCTAAGTCTGGATGTCATGTTTTGGCATCCCAACTAGTGTGGTTTCAAAACAAAAGTGAATGTGGGGATTTAGAAATATACTATGCAGCATATATCCAGCTTCAAAGTACAAAAATTATATTAGCATACATCAGAAGAGGATGGCCATACTTTGTGGCTGTGTTATGAGAAAAGGGAAACTAGATATATTAGCATACATTAGATAAAACAGTCTACATTTTTGGCTGTATTATGAGAAAAGGGAAACTGGAATCTGTTGTGATCACTGGAAAGATCTGTGGAAAGAAAAATAGAGGAAGACAATGACAGAATATTCCTGACAGTCTTTTGTCATGACATGGAAGGTTGCCTGCACTCGAACATTCTGCTGGAGATCAAAGATTGCAGACAGGCATGATTATCCATGCCAGTCAGCAAGGCACTTGATGATGATTTGATGATGTAAGTATAAGTATTTTGGCCACCTGACATGTCATGATGACCTGAAGAGTTTGGTGATAAAGGGTACAGTGTCCAGAAAGTAAGTCAGAGGTAAAGATGCACTGGCTATGAAAGTACATAGGGTTGGAGAAGTGACCAGTGTTGCCACTTTGGATGTTTTACATCCTGATTTAGATGTTTTTCCTTGCATTTAGATTAATCAAGTAACAGAAATTTAGATGGCATTTTTGACATTTAGATGGTAGATGTTTTTCTAGATGTTCTTCATTTGAAGTGAATTTATCAAATCTCACCTAAGAAACAGGATGAAATTTTACCTCCTAAATGCTATCTTGACATTAAAATGTTGCCTGATAAGAGTAGGTAAAGGCTGTTCCACTTATCAGCTCCCTGATTGGGTATTAAAAGAAACTGGAACAGCTAAAGCATACCAGAGTCATTTTGGATCTGAAGCTTCAACTTCATCATCCAAGCTAAGTTTATCCTTTGGATCTTGTAAGGCAGACTTCAATAAAGATGAAGACATGATTCTATAGGGTAAGTCATATCAATTGCTATGTAATTTGTGACTCTTTCCATTCGGATGTTTTTCTAGATGTTTTCTACACAAAGTTAGATGTTTGTAGATATTTTTTGACACATTTTGGATGTTTTTTGTCAAAGAAAAGTGGCAACACTGGAAGTGACTGAGATTGACTTTCTGTAAAGGACCTACCTGTTGTTTAATAATGATGATGATTTTGGTCAGTACTAAGGGGACAAGACATTTCATTAACCAACACAGAACAGGCATTATCAGTCGTTTTACACTTGTGGAGCTTTTGAGGAGGAGATGGGAGCGCCTATGGATCTGTCCGGAGTGCTGTGATGATAATCCTTTCTAATCACTATTTTGGTTAGTGCTGTTGGTACTCACTTGGCGTAGGCTTTCTCCAACAAAGCTGACCAGAATTCATTTCTGGTCTTGGAGTGGGTGAAGATCAGTCGGCCATTTCTGGTCGGTAGATAGTCATCAATGACAACGTCAACCCAGGTGCCACATCTCCAGAACTTGAAATGAAATATGCCTGAATGGACAGTGCTGTATGGTTACATAATGATAAGGTAAACATAACAAAGGTCCCTTTACATGCCATTGGCACATCAAGAGGCATCTCAGGTTAGACTCATTTTTATAGACCAATTGGTCCTTGAAGGTGGATGTGGTCAACATCATGCAAGCCGCCTTTACTTCCTAAGACGTTACCCGGTAGCCATTTAAGGCTGATTTAACCTGGGAGCCCAGGTCATGTTTGAAAGAAAAATATCTACACAAATATACCATTGTCCAAATGCCACAAAAACCTTTCATGCAATAAATCATGTGTCATGGAAGTTAAACTATTGTACTCGAGGATCATGAAATTGTGAAAGACATTCACTAGTCTCTAAGTCTTTCTTTTTAATTTACTTCAGTTGTGTGTGTGAATGTGTGATTACATATGCGCATCCAGGCATATGCGCGTCCTTTGGCCAGTTATCTCCCTTTCCATCTTCCCATAGAAAAAGAAGTATGCTAGAGGATAAGACTTTCTTCAACCTGTACCACATCCATGACAGCAAACCATTCCCCCCATTTACTGGTCCATACGCATGACACACACCAACTTTAAAAAGAAACCTAAATAAGAAGATAAGAGAACAAATGCTGGCAAACTAAACCAGAAACATTAAAAAGAAGCATAAAAGAAGAATTTGGCAACATAATTAAGTGAGACAGAAATCTGGCAAGTCAGCAGCACATATACAAGAGCAGAAATTTCAAAGCAACACGGTAGCAGACAAGCTTTGACTCTATAAAACAATGACTGATGCTGTCTGAGCTCATTTTTTTCTGAACAGCTCATTAAATGTTGCTTAATTACTCTGTCTACTGTATATGTTTCTTAGCCTTTTAAGCCGTAGTCATATGTTGAACTGATTGCTGCCTAAACTGCTACTCTAATTGAATCTGTTACAAGCTTCCATTTTCTACAGAAATTGTTAATTAAACTTCATTATGTTCCAGCCATCTGTTATAGTTTTCTATCTTCTCCTGTCTTTTCTTCTTCTTCTTACCTTTCTCCAGTTATGTCATCAATGTGCTGAAGAGAGGTATAACGACTTTCTGAGTGCTATTAGTCCTCCTCTTGTAGGATGCAATTTTTGGTTATTTTGAAGCCCTACCCTGGCTCTTGTCAGGGGCCGCAATATATCCCGACCATTAATAAGGCCTAATGGCTGAACGCGGTGTCTGGGACCTCTCCACGAGTGATCCTCATCCACATGGTGGCACTTTGTGTCATTGGGCATTTATCGCTTGTGTGAAATCTTGGTGAGGTAAAAGTACTACTACTACTACTTCTGAGTGCTCTTTCCATTATGTTGCATAGCTGATCTCCACTTCTGGACTTCTCTTGATGTCATAGCTGCATCTTTTACATGGCCTTCCCTGTGCTCTATGTTCACTTTTTTCTTCACCATTTAAAGTTTCTTTTCTGTACAGCTCTTGTTTGGTTAACTTAGTTCACAAGGGCACACATCTAAATTATTCTTGGGCAACATTGTGTGGACAGTTAAATCTTTTACCAGATTACCAGATCTGACATGGACTCATCTTTAATGTAGCAAATACCATATTTACGTGTGTATACGCTGCACTCATATATACAGCCACAACCAGTGTCTGAAACGATAATGTTTGGAGAAAAAAATTTCTTAGAATTTGGTCAGGAAAACAAAACCGAAACCGAAATTTAAGTTGCAAGTACTGCATGATGTGCAAGAAATTAGAAACCGATAAGAACACATGCGAAGATGGACTCGAATCAAAGATGCTGTTGAAAAAAATATTGCAAAGTTGACATTCTTTTCATGGCAAGAAGATAAAATACACAGAAATATGGGCAGGCTGATTTTCTTTGAAGCAAGTCAATTATCAGACATTATGAGAGTTTCTCAAACTGAATATAAAGCCAGTTATGGTTGGGCAAGATGCTTTATGGCACACAAAATGACCCTGTGATTCGTTCATGAACAACAGTGGAGCAGAAACTTTTCATCACCTACCAGGAGAAGCTGTTTGCATTTCAAAGACATTGTCTTAAGTTACAGAAGACACAACACTACAGTTGGGTGCAATTGGAAATGCAGGTGAAAGTCCTATATTCTTCAGTATGTCAGGTGAAACAACAATGAAAACAGCTAGTGAAAAACAGTCTGTAGCAAACTTCAGGAGCGCAAAAACAGCTCTGTACTGTGTACTAGGTATCATTGATGACGGACATGACTTAATGTCTCAAATATAAACCGTAACCCCATTCCCATTTTCACCAACTGTTTTTTATTAAATACTGTGGATGTCAGGGTTGTCCCGGTTATGGGACAGTCCAAGCTGATGATGATGAATTAGCAAGACTGTGGACAGTGACCCCTAACTAAACTCAGGGCCATTGCAGACAAGCCGATTCATGGATAAATCTATGTTAGCTGAATGAGGCTTACCGAACGTCAGCGGACTTCATTAAGGATCGACTGAACACTGAACTCTGGGAGTTGAACAAAATGACTGAACAAAGGACAGATCGGGGATTCTTGGCAGGACATCTGTGTAACTTGGACGTTGTTTGGACCAGACCTTTAGATTGTAATAGTTCACTGACAAATCGCAATGACCGGTAGAAATGTGGTGTGTGTGATTCGTAGACTGATGTTTGACTAAACGTGGTTAGTACTTTACGGTGTAAGTAGGAATTGTTTCAATTGGATCTCAGTTAGTAGATAGGCTAATGATAGCAGTCAGAATTCTTTCGGTAGTGATACCTCGTTATGGGAAACAAGGCCATGCATTATTTGTGGCATTAGCATCTGCCGACGCACCTCCAGCCCCCACTCGGTGTGTGCTACAGCATCCTTGGCACTGGGACACAGCAAGTTGAGATAGCATTGTACGGGGAGTGCGGTAGGAGCTCAGAGCTTATTTCATGAAATGTGTAAAGACATGTCTAGTGATTTTAAAGGTTTTAAGCACTACCGCTCCTGAGGCACAAACCTCTATGAGTTTGTATTCATAGATAATAAAGATTGTGTGTGTGTTCAACAAGTGTTTGGCTTTGGTGTATTAGTTAGCAGATTTTATCTGTCATCAGCCTGCAGGGCAGAGATAGATCTGAACCCTAGACTTGTAGGTTCTTGACAGTGGCCTATACATACACAAATACAGTATTCTTCTACAGTCTGCGTAAATTTTACGTAAACTTGATTCTTTGTTTCTCCATATAAATTTTTTAATATATTCTATCTATTACATTCTTCCATTCTTTGTATCACTTTGATTATCACAACAACACGAAACTTAAGGTCTTCAATTCCTGTGTGATCCCAGTGCTAACTTATGGTTGTGAGAGTTGGAAATCATCAGTATCAATCGATAAGAAACTAGTCGCTTTCGAGAATAGATGCTGAACGAAAGCTATTGAATGTTCACTGGTCGGACTTTAGGTCCAATACATCTATAAGACAGGAAACAAAGTAAAAATATGTGTCTGTTTATTAGAAAGCGTCGCTGGAATTACATCGGTCACGTACTCAGAATGGACATACAGAGACTTCCCCACCAAGCCTTCATATGGTCACCAGAGGGTAAAAGAAAACAGGGAAGACCAAAAGAAACTCTCCGTAGAACCATCACAAGGGAGAGCTCAACCATAGGTCTCAGTCGCACTCAAGACCTACATCAAGTGGCAAAGAACCGACAGACGTGGAAAGCTATTACCTCTGCCCTATGCGCCATCTTTGGCACAAGAGGAATAACTAACTAACTATTCTTTGTATAAATTGTTAGTCTAACTCATGACTTGTTTAGTTGTTGTGGTAGGCAACAGTACACAATACCAGTACATTTTTTAAAGGCATCATTTGTTAAGACAATTTTTTTTAACGCTTCTGGTGATCACTAACGTTTCTTTAAGACACTTAACTTCATCTGTCTCATGCTTCCATTTCTAACCTTTTTTTTTTTATTGTATAGCAAACTTCAAAACCAACCTTGTTACCTGATCTATCAGTTTATTTCAAGTGTGTGATACTTCTCACTCTGAAAACCGCTGCCTCAGCATTCCCTCACATCTGCTCTAGCAGGAACTGGTGTGTACGTTTTCAGTGCCTATCTCCCTGTGACTCTCAACAGCTGATAAGAAGGAAGTAAACTGTTAATTACCTGCATATCTGGAATCTGGAGTAAATACTTGTTCCCTGTAATCTGGTACCACCTGAAAAAATATCAACAACAAAATTGAAAGCTGAAAGGTTTATATGATAGAGAAAGCAGAAAATTTAAGAAAAGCTGATGTGTTTATATGGTAGATGGTCACACACAAAAAAGAGTTGATATACATGGGGGTGGGGGAATAGACAGTTGATTTATTTTTATGGTAGACAGAGACAATTCAAAAATAGAGATTTGATACTTTCAAATGATAGATAAGGCACAAAAAATAGACTGCTGATCTGTTTATATGGTAGATGAAGCAATCGATAGAGAGTTGATATGTTTATATGGTAGATGAAGCAATCGATAGAGAGTTGATATGTTTATATAGGAAATGGTGGAAGAACAGAGATTTGATCTGTTGATATGGTAGAAGGAGCAAACAATAGAGAGTTCATATGTTTATGTGTTAACATGTTTTACACTTCACTACTTCTTTTGTCTCATCATTCTATCAAATTAATGTTTTCTCTCCTGCTGTTGATTAATCTGATCTGCCTTATCTTTGTATCATTGAACTCACAGAGATTCATAGATTACATCTATAAATTATACAACTTATGGGACAGACTGTTGAAGAAACAACTAACTTGCACAACTCTGTCAGCACCAGAACATCGAAGCAGATGTCTGATAAAGGCAGTAATGACAACATCAAGCTATTTTCACACAGGCCAATTACACATTCCTTGTCGGATCCAAATATACTGTCAGAGTTCTCTAATCTCTAATAAACTGAGAATACAGAACATAGAATATCTACATTATAAATCCTCAACCACTTCTTTATTTTGTGTGCTCATTGTAATAAATTGTTAACTCCTCCAAAACCATGACCAATACATAGGAATTTCCAGGTAACTGCATTTTTTTTATTTATTGTGATAATCAGTAAAAGTAAACTTTCACTGGACACACTGACACATGCCATGACCCCGTGGTCTCTATCACTGAGGCTAAGGAAAAAAAATTTTGTCAGCTTAATTTTTTTTTAAAAATCAATTTGTAATGAAATATAGGCAGAAAGGTGTTAAATGAACAAAGCATACATTTCAGACCACCAACAACATACTAATCCATCACCGTGTAACATGACAGAAATGGGTGATTAGAAAGCTGGCCTGGCCAGCGATACAGAATATCTGCACGATGACCAGAGTTGAATTGAGTGCGGTTATCATGGTAAAACCATGACATCTGACAATGAAGGATGGAAACATACGACAGAGAGGGAGGTGAGCAACGCGATGCACGTGTCCAACTGAAGATACGTTTATCCAAACAGATGACAGGGAGTGATTGTGAACGCACACGAGAAAGAGAGGGAAAGCGAGGGGAGGTCAGCGAGGAGCGAGCGGTTTGAGAAAACAGTTAGGACAGGACCGCTTGAGAGAACAGTTAGGACGGGACCGCTTGAGAGAAGAGTTAGGACTGGACCGCTTGAGAGACCAGTTGGGAAAACTAGAGCTGTACTTCGTTTAGAAGCTATATATTAAACTTGGAGTTTAGCTAAGAGAGTGATTAAGGAACTCATAGAGAGACATACGAATAGCCAGTAATAAGATAATGAAGTGTTCCTATACTATTGGTTATTGAAATGATTCATTCTGTTTGACTTGATAATATTATTAATAAATAAACTGCTGTGTAATTGTTACACCACTGGCCTTGTTCCTGAGTACATTCAAGAGAGCTACGAACTGTATCCAGACACCTTGGCCGAATTAGGCACATCCATACTTGAGGGATGTGAAGACCACGACTGTGTCACAAATTTAACTAAGAGGAAAACTTCCAAAAATGATATTGATAGTTAGTTAATGTATTCATATCCTGACCTCCCGAATATTTGTGCAAGCACGAACATAGCCAATAGCATTACCTTTTATTACCAATACAATGTGTCTTATAAACAGATCGCTATAGAGGTCAGAAAAGTTACATTTACAGGAAATTAGATGCAATTGGACATGCTCTTTTGTTTGTTTTTTGAACTGGTCAAAAATGACTGTGATTGTTTACCTTCTTCCACAGAATGCTGTCCTCGGCAATGCAAGCGCAAGCAGCTACAAACCAGCAATTTCCCAGGCTGCCCTGAGAGAAATCATCTGCACTGGCTTTGTCTATGAAGAACTTCGGATCTGCCACAATATCCTGAAATAATGATTCAATTGTCACCAGAAAGCTCAGCATCTTTCCACTAGGGACAAAAGTATAGAAGCCCTGTCTATGAGGGTAGATATTTAGGGGTAAGAATTGTTCATTATACATCAGTTTCATTACTCACAGGCATTCCCAAAAGTGCTCTGATCTTCTCCTAAGCATGTTCTCTACTACTTTTATGCTAACAAATGTTGTTTTGTATTAGCTTATGTAGCAAATGTGTACTTTTGTGGTTTTCATATCGTGCTGTTGCAACTGATTTATTCAGATTTTGTATTTAAGTGAGGGAGAAATCACTAAATCCTCATGTGTAAGGTCTTTAGCAGGGGCTGTCTCTCATATAACATAAAGTATAGCCTTTCTGTCACTTGAAGCAAAAGAATGGCAATTGTTTCCCTACAACATACGTGTACATACTGCTGATTACTTCTAGTTTATTGTTTTAGAAGAATAGCTTAAATGTAAAATAGCTCAAGCAAAGACATCATTTTATACAATGAAGATATACTATGCAATCTTTCTATGTTAACTGAGATGAGAAAACAAAATTCTTTAAAGCTATATAAATTCTATACTGACATATAGACGTGAATCATTAACAATTATTTGAATAGTAAAAATTATTTAAAAGCTGCAGAAATTTTTTTATGAATGATGAGAATACCCTGGACAAATTACCCACACACACACACAAAATGTAATCATGATGTCTTGACTCACGGAAAGAACTAATTGCCTTTATCAGAAGGAGACAGTCTATATTCTTTGGTCATGTGATGAGAAGGAGAAAACTGCAGTCCATTGTGACAGTAGGAAAGTTGGAGGAGAAGATGCAGAGGTAGACCAAAAGAAAAGATGCTGCACAGTTTGACATCATGGCATGTAAGGTCATCTGTGTAAGAATTGATTGAAACTATGCAAGACAAAAGGTTGCGGATAGGTATGACTACCAACGCAACACAACATGGTCTACAAGAAGATATTGTTTTAATTTATAACCCACCCCCCCCCCACCCCACAAACACATGCACACACAAGTATGAATTAAATAATCTAAACATTAGCACACTGAGCTTCCATGCAACCCAGGCTTGATCCCTGGTAAGAGATGAAGATCCTTCTATCGGCAATAAAAAATAAACATCTTAATCTGCACAGTTTGTGGCGACTGCACTAGCCATGTGGCCCTAAATCCTCAGGAACAAAACCCCCTTGTCCTACATTGCCCTAAATACAGGCAGTAAAAGAAAGGTCCTTTATCCATGCCAGCAGGCATACAGGGCATATAGGGTTAGTTTTAATATGCCAAAATATGACAAAATTTGCCAGTCTGGTTCTACTTTGAGTGATATTGGGCATGTTGTCATCATCAATCACCAGATCCTTTATGGATCCCCGCTGCTACAACAGACCTGAAAGTCTCTCTTTCTCTAGCCAGTTCCCCAGCCCTGTGTGCTTTCATAGCCAAGGCATCCTCGGTGTCTTGTAACCACATTCATGGAAGTCTGCCTCTGTACCCTCCATCACCAGTCTCTCCTGGCTACCATCAGAGAATATGTTGTTAGCCCCATATTTACATATACTGGAAGACACCAAGTGGGTTCCAGGGGGCAGGATGGGGAGGGAGGGGGACATTAACCCACTGCCCCCTAGCAAGCATGTCATAAAAGCAACCAATTGGAGACTATATTATTTGGTCATGTCATGCAGTCATGGTCAATTTTTCTTTTTTTTTCATAAGGGACAGTGATAGACATTTTGTGTTGGTTTTTACTGGCACAGAAGCAGAGCAACCATGGGCTGACATGTTTGCTTTGAATCTGCAATTGAGATTACCTGATAACCTGGTGGAGTGATGTTCTTCTCAGGACTTGATACGTGATGGTGAATATGATTATGACAGTAATGGTGATAATGTGGTGCCCTTTGGGAACAAGCAACAGAATTAGTAGAGAAACAAGATTATTATGACCTGGAGAGAATAAGGCACCTGGGTGTAAACAGAGGGTCTGGCCTGCTCACTACACTCAGAGGAAAGGCGAGACGGACCTATAACCAGATTGTGACCGGTACCATCAGTATTGGAACTCTGCGCTGGCTGCTGAAGATGAGAATGGAGTACCCATGGGAATGCATCGAGTGCTGTCATGTCAATTCTTGACAACTCAACTCAACTGGTGATGAGAGACTTTCAGGTCTGTTGTAGCGACAGCAGCGGTGATCCATAAAGGATCTGGTGATAGATGATGACAACATGCCCAATATCAAGAGATGGACAAACAACAGTCTCAGAGAAAAGAATGTTGGAGATCCATTGCAAACAACCTTCGTTGTAGAGATGAATCTCCTAACTGGTTGATTGGATTGGTGATGATAATAATCAATCTCCTTCTAAAAGCCTATGCTGTGTGTTGTTGATAGTCATGACTATCCACAATCTTCTGTCTTGTATACTTTCAGTCAACTCTGACACAGATGATCCTCCATGCCATGATTTCAAACTGTCCAGCATCTTTTCTCTCGGTCTTCCTCTGCCTCTCCTTCCCTGCAACTTTCCTACTGTCACGATGTACTCATTTTCTCCTTTTCATCACATGATCAAAGAATGTAGATTGTCTCTTTCTGATGTGGGCAGTCAGTTCTTTGCGTGAGTCAGTCCCTTTTAAGAATTGTGATTACAGAATTGACGACAGTGATTTTGGTGATAATGCTAAGAACTATAACCATAATAATGATAATGTTGATAATGATAATGGTAATGATGATGACAAAAATGTAGCTAATGACCGTGACAATGACGATGATGATGATGATGATGATGATAAGAGTGGGAATGATGATGATAATATATTTGAAGATGATGATGAAGATGATTATGATGATAATGATGGTAATGATGATAATAATGATTATGATGATTATGATGACGACAATGATATATTCTAACAATAGATAAGACAAGCTTACCTTTGGCCTTTTCCACACTATATCTGCAGGCGCTGGTCGACTAAAGAACAGTGAGGAACCCGTGGGAGGAAATTCGCCATCTATAAATAATTTCCTTTTGCGCAGACACCGCCTTCGCAGCTTTCCGTAATGTTGACCCTTGTACGGCTTCTCTTTGTGTTCTCCAAACATCTGAATCAAAACAACAACAGATAAATTTAATTTGTGATTACTTTAAATTTCATTCTATTTTATCTATCTATTGCAGTGGTTCTCAGTCTTCCTAACACGGCAACCCTTTAATACAGTTCATCATGTTGTGGTGACCCCCAACCATAAAATTATTTTCGTTCCTACATCAAAACTTTGATTATGTGTTTTCCGATAGTCTTAGGTAACTCTTGTGAAAAGACAGCCTGACACCCCTGTAGCAGAGAGTCACACCTGTGAAAGCTCAGGAAGCATGAATCAACAGTCAATCATTGTCTGTTTGGGCCCAAAAACGTTAGTTCTTGATGGTGTACTAGACACTGATCGTCTGCAAAAATAAAATGCAGTTTATTGATTTCAATAGTATCTGTATTTTCCTCGTGTGTAATTCTATCCATGTACCGTAAATAATGAAGGGCAGTGGTGAGAGGACACGTCTATGCCTGACACCTGGTGAGATGGGGAATCAATCATTCATTGTGTTATTCTTACTGTCACTGGGTCTAAACCCCCCCCCCCCCACCTCCTCCAGTAGGACCCAGGAACCCACATGACATTGTAATTAGGTGTAAGTATTAACTTTAATCCTATATATACACCAGACAATGAAAAAGCAATTAGGAAGTTGGACTGTGTGGTCTTGGAGATGTCGGTGCAGAAGAATGGGTCCTATTTAGTGGAAACAATAGGAATCAATTACGGTAGTTTTGAGGGCCCAAGACTGAAATTGGAGATCTTGGAAGTAATGACAACGAGGCAAGTGACATTTCAGACACATTCTTTTTGTGTTGTCTCACTGTTACCAGGTTGTCGCCCAGTGGGGTGGTTGTCTGTATTTGTCTTGCACTTCTCGGGTGGCTTGGTTGATAGATTTGTTCATCTTTTTGCAGGTTTTAACTACACCATTTATCCATCTCTTTTTCGGCCTTTCCCTTCCCCAGTTGTTCTGTTGTAAAAGGTCTCATAGTTTGTTCTGGCTGTACTTGATGACCTAATCATTTCATTCTTTGTCTGTCGGTATAAATCAGACACGGTCTTGTTACAATATCCTGGTGAATATTATGAGAATCTCCCCAAACAGAGTTAGCCTTACCTTTTTACGCACTAGGTTACTTTTCATTCATAGTCTGTTAGGCTCGTCAACTTTGCAGAAAGTTCCAGGCATGTCCCACTCTACTGTTTGCAAAAAAGGGTGGCTGCGTTGTCTTCGCTCCCTGGCAGAGCTAGATATTTTTTTCTAAGAAGGACCTTGGCTCCCAGGTCGACCCAGCCTTGAGTGGGTAGCTGGTACAGTCCTTGGAAGTGAAGGCAACTGGCGTGATTCAGACCACATCACCCATACTGTACTGTAGGTCTATAAAATATAGGTCTAGCCCTACCTACTGAGAGGCGCGGAAAAGGGTCCTTTACTTTACTTCATTTATTTGCACATTGATGATAATAAATAATGATAACAATAATAATGTGCTGAATATCAAACACATATATTAATATGCTTGGAATAATATGAAGTGTAAAAACAAACACGTTTCAAGGAAATATAATAATAAAATTGGTTTGTTAACAACTTTTGTAAGGTTGGATTGGAAAGGTGGGGGGGGGGGACAAGTTGTTAAATGGATTATTCTCCTTAACTTTATCGCATTATCTTCGTCCCATTGCACAGTTGCCACTAACCTATACTCTTATAAGTAACTAGAATATTAGGTGTTACATTAATCTTAATTTAGTCTTAAGTTGCAGATGAAATACTAGAAAGACAGAAGGAAAGACAGACAGACAGACAGACCTACGGAGGGACGGACGGAAGAAAGGAAGGAAGGAAGGAAAAGAAAGAAAGAAAGAAAGAAAGAAAAAGAAAGAAAGAAAGAAAGAAAGAAAGAAAGAAAGAAAGAAAGAAGAAAGAAAGAAAGAAAGAAAGAAAGAAAAGAAAGAAAGAAAGAAAGAAAGAAAGAAAGAAAGAAAGAAAGAAAAGTAGATAGACAGTTACAAGGATGGACAGAAAGAAAGAAAGAGCTAGAAAGAAAGTAAGAGCTAGAAAGAAAGAAAGAGCTAGAAAGAAAGAAAGCAAGAAAGACAGCTAAAAAGAAAGAAAGAAAGAAAGAAAGAAAGAAAGAAAGAAAGAAAGAAAGAAAGAAAGAAAGAAAGAAAGAAAGAAAGAGATTCCTGAGACAGTTTAGGAGGATGCGGAAATGAAGAAGAAAAGGAGGAGATAATAAAGAGGAGAAATGTTGGAAAAGGGAGAAGAGGAGGAAAAAGATGATGATGAGAACAGAAGTAAAAAAAGCATGAGAAGGTGATTAACAGGAGGGTGGGATGCAGAAGAACAAGGCAAATACTAAGATAAAGGAGAAGGGAGGAAACAAGAAGAAGACAATGGAAGAGAATATGATGGAGGGGAACGCAAACGATTAAATAAACAAGATGGATGAAAAGTTAAGCTCTGCTAGAAGATGATATATTGTCCGTTATTTAAATTAATGCAAAAGCAAGCAACAGCAGTGTTAATATAATTGTCTCTATTCCAGAAGGGTTAAACATCACTATCCTTCGTAAAGTAAGTAAAAAAGTAAAGGACCCTTTTCCACGTCTTTTGGCGTATAGGGCACATAGGGCTAGACCTATATTTGTATAGATCAATCGGCATAGGATGGGTGATGAAGTCTGCATCACGCCGACCGCCTCTACTTCCCGGGACTGCACCCGGCACCCACTCAAGGCTGGGTCGACCTGGGAGTCAAGGTAATTTTTGAAAAAAAGTCCGGCTCCGCCAGGGAATGAACCCACGACGTTCCGATCCGCGCCGAGCGTCTAGCTGCTCCACCACACGGACTCCCACTATCCTCTGACAGCTAGATTTTAAAAATATATACGTGGATTCGCTCCCTGGAGGAGCCGGACTTTTTTCAAAAATGACCTTTGCTCCCAGGTCAACCCAGCCTTGAGTGCGTGCCAATATAGACCTGTGAAGTAAAGGCGGGCGGTGTATTGCTGACCACATCACCCATCTTGTGACGTTGGTCTATAAAATATAGATCTAGCCCTATATACCCAATACACCAGAAAGGCAGGGAAAATGGTCATTTACTTACTTTTAAACACACAATGAATATTTTGACAAGTGACCCTCGTTTTGCGCCTACAATGTAAACAGCCTGGGAATTCCAGATAACAGAAGCACAAAAGCAGCAGTTAGATCCAGTGTATTGTTCTTACGAAATCAAATGGAGCCAAAACAAACACACATGTTGCCCACATTGTTGATATGTGAGTAACATAAAAATCAATGAAACAACAATGCTAGTGTATGAACAGGTAAATAGTATCATTATAGTAATGTACTGATGAATGAGAATTTAGATATCTAGGGTATAGGCAAAAAAAGACAAAATCTATTGCCAACTCACGACTCTGCCGTTTACATATGTTTTCTATTTCCCCTTGCTATTCTCTCTCTCTCTCTCTCTCTCTCTCTCTCTCTCTCTCTCTCTCTCTCTCTCTCTCTCTCTCTCTCTCTCTCTCTTTCTCTCTCTTTCTCTCTCTAATCCAATCTAATCTATCTATCTATCTATCTATCTATCTATCTATCTATCTATCTATCTATCTATCTATCTATCTATCTATCTATCTATCTATCTATCTATCTATCTATCTATCTATCTATCTATCTATCTATCTATCTATCTATCTATCTATCTATCTATCTATCTATCTATCTATCTATCTATCTATCTATCTATCTATCTATCTATCTATCTATCTATCTATCTATCTATCTATCTATCTATCTATCTATCTATCTATCTATCTATCTATCTATCTATCTATCTATCTATCTATCTATCTATCTATCTATCTATCTATCTATCTATCTATCTATCTATCTATCTATCTATCTATCTATCTATCTATCTATCTATCTATCTATCTATCTATCTATCTATCTATCTATCTATCTATCTATCTGACTGCCTGCCTGCCTGCCTGCCTGCCTGCCTGCCGGCCTGCCTGCCGGCCGGTCGGTCGGTCGGTCGGTCGGTCGGTCGGTCGGTCGGTCTGTCTGTCTGTCTGTCTGTCTGTCTGTACAATCTATTTATCTATATATCTGTTTGTTTGTATGTCTTGTACATGTGAGGGTGCATTTGCATGCCTGTGTGTATTATGTTGGTGTGTATTATGTTGGTGTGTATTATGTTGGTGTGTATTATGTTGGTGTGTATTATGTTGGTGTGTATTATGTTGGTGTGTATTATGTTGGTGTGTATTATGTTGGTGTGTATTATGTTGGTGTGTATTATGTTGGTGTGTATTATGTTGGTGTGTATTATGTTGGTGTGTATTATGTTGGTGTGTATTATGTTGGTGTGTATTATGTTGGTGTGTATTATGTTGGTGTGTATTATGTTGGTGTGTGTTGTGTCTGTGTGTGTTGTGTCTGCGTGTGTGTATATTGTGTCAGTTTGTTTTGTGTTTGTGTGTATATTGTGTCGGTGTGTGTTCTGTCTGTGTGTGTTGTGTCAGCGTCTGTTTTGTGTTGGTTTGTTTTGTGTTTGTGTGTATGTTGTGTCGGTGTGTGTTCTGTCTGTGTGTGTTGTGTCAGCGTCTGTTTTGTGTTGGTTTGTTTTGTGTTTGTGTGTATATTGTGTCGGTGTGTGTTCTGTCTGTGTGTGTTGTGTCAGCGTCTGTTTTGTGTTGGTTTGTTTTGTGTTTGTGTGTATGTTGTGTCTGTGTGTGTTGTGTTAGTGTCCCATGTGTCTTTGTGTGTTTTGTCTGTGTATGTATATGGTGTCTTTGTGTTTATATTGTGCCTGTGTGTGTAGTATCTGTATATGTATATGGTGTTTGTGTGTGTTGTGTTGATGTGTGTTGTGTCTGTGTGTATTGTGTCTGTGTCTGTATATGGTGCTTATGTATGTTGTGTTTATGTGTGTGTTGTGTCTGTGTGTGTATTGTGTCTGTGTGTTTATATGGTGTCTGGGTGA